GCTCAAAAATTTTAGATTTTGGAGCATTTCAGATTTTGGATTTTTGAATTAGGGATGCTCAACCAGTAATAGTACACTCAACAATTTGGATAAATTCCCAGAATTATGCTGTTTGGAAAAGAATCCTAAAATGATCACATACTCTATGATTTCATTTATATAACATTCTTGACAAGGATGAAGTGATAGAATGGAGAACAGGTAACAGATTAGTGGTTGCTAGGGGTTAAGAGGAGGTGGGCACAGGTGGGCATGGCTCTGCAAAGGCAACAAGGAGTGGTCTTATGGTGACATAATGTTTTGTGTCCTGACTGCAGCAATGTCACTGATATCATTGATATTTTGGTAAAGTTTTCAAGATGCTATCACTGGGGGAAATAAGGTAAAAGGTACATGGGAGCCCTGTATTACTTGTTAAAATTACATGTGAATCAGAAGCTTAATTTAAAAAAATGAATTTCTATCACATAAAGAATCAGGAATGTCAACTTTAGGCACTTAAAGATCAGAAGATATAGCAGTGTTGGTCTTACATTTCTGCAGAGCAATAGTCATCAGTTACTGGTTCCCATGTCCCTGCATCCCCATTTTTATAGAAGTGCATTTTTCCATGTCTGCTTCATGTGGCAAATTCTTGTTGTGCCCCTTCAGCCCTGTATATTGGGTCTTTGTGTAAAAACTTGACAAAAGGGAATCACAGCTAACAGAGTTGAAAACCACTGGTCTAGTCCAACCTTTCCTTAAATTAAGAGGAAACTAAGGCCTAGAGATGTCCATGTGAATGGTCTAAAGCCATATAGAAAATCAGAAACAAAACCATGAAATGCTGGGTGTCTTCTTCCCTTGCCTCATACTTGCTTCTCTGAGATCAGGGTGAAGTGGCAAAGATATTATGAACAAAAGCCCTCCCTCCGGCAAGGCTCATATAGCTCATATAGCTATGAATAATCATGACCATGCTATCAAAACTACCCAGGACATAAAGGTGCAAAATCAGATGCAGCCAGTAGCCTGTAAACTGTCATTTCTAGCCAAGTCTGCTGAGGTTGAGTGACAGTTTGCCATCAGTGAAGGTTCAGTGACAGGGTGAGGGATAGTCCTGGAGCCTCTGTGAGTCTAGTAAGCCTGCCTTGCTTGGTGCTGTGTAGCAATTCTTATCTAGCTGAAGAAAGGAGCAACAAGACAAATACACATGGGAAAGGGAAAAAGAGAGAACAAGAGAAAGAAAGAGAGAGCCCACCAAGGCTGCTCAGACTATAACACTTGGGGGTGTCCTAATCTCTCCAGTTATGACTTTTAAACTTGCGGGTGGCACAGTATTAGAAGCTAAAAATGTACAAAATGCAGGTTGCAGGTAACTTTTTTTTTTTTAACTGTTTGCTTAAGAGGGTCCTTTTGGAGGGAGGGCCCCATGCAGTGCTAGCATTATGAGAGCCTGCCACGGAAGCTTGGTGGCTGGAGCTGGGACAGAGACGATAACTGACTGCACAGGGGAACAGAGAGGACATTGAAGTGCCCAAGGGGGTACAGAAAGGAGGGGGAAGAGCCAGAGTGCTGACATTCTGCATGAAGCAGGTGAGTGGCATGGGGGGAACCCCAGTGACTATGGGGTAAAGAAGAGGCTTGGAGGGATTTTTGTTGTTTTAGGAGGAACATGTGATGTGACCCTCACCTTCAACTTCTCTAGGAACTTGTCACTAAACTCAATGTTGCTCCTTATTGCCTGGGAGATTGGAGAGCTGTTGAGTTCTGCACCTGAAGAGCATCAGCCAGGACAGAGACTGCACTTGTAGGCAATTAAACCACAAGACTCCGGCAAGGATGTCTGGGTCACACACAGGGCCTCCAGGATGGTTACAACCATGCAGCAGAATCCAGATGCCTCACAGATCCACGCTTTGTCTAAGACGGAGCCAGGCTTGCTACCACCCCAACCCGATCACAACTACCCACCATCATGGACTCAACCTTCTGAGCCACAGGGTCCCAGGATGCCTTCCTGAAGTCATAAGAAAGTTGCAGTGGTCTCTGAGATTAGGGACTCCACTTTGGAGATGAAAGTACTATTTGTGCTCGGCTGCTTCAGATGGAAGCTGTGAAACTGTGTCACCTACACCTACTAGAGTAGCTTCTATGGGGAAGTATGCAGAAAGCTGATTCAAGCCAGCCTGGATGTTTTCTGAAGGTATAGGCTCTTTGTTGCCTGGGTTGTTCATTGCCCTTCCTCCCCTTACCTGTAAAGAGATAGTCTTTGGAGAGAGTCTTTGGAGATCAGACTCAAACTTGGGCTGGCCAGCAGGTGGACACTGGTGCCTCAAAGGAAAACTATGTTCTACCAGACACCAGAGATACCACTGGAAGCCAGGACCCAAGTGGAGAGGAGGGGGTGGGGGTGGGGCAGAACTGTGGTCTGCTCCAGGACTTTGAGGGTGGGCAGGCTTGGAGGTGGAGCAGAAGCAGAGATCACAAGGTTTGCCTGCCATGCAATTTGACACCAGTATCCCTGCCAGGTACAGAATGCCTTACACTACTCACTCAATGTTCCCACCAACTTTTGCACCACACGAGACAGCACAGAGTGTCACCATGGACAGGCTTAGCAAACTCAGGTCCTTCTGGAATAAAATACTTGGCAGCAGTTTGCAGCAAAGCCTCCCTGGGGAAACTCAGCCTTCAGGAGAGACCCTTAGCATCTGCTCTGGGAGCGGTGCTAATTTGGCAAGAGAAGGAGTGATGGTTGCTCTTGGCCAACAGGACGGGTCAGCAGGGTCTAGGGATGCAACTTTGGACTTGGGAATAGAAATGGTTAGAAGCATGACTAGCCCCATGAGAAGCAAAGTCCCTGACCAACCTGTACTCAGGAAAGGAACAAGCGCTCCCTTCTGATCAGATGATCACTTGGGTCACAAACTATTTACATGGCTTAGGGTTTTAATTACAAACAGAATGGAGTTCCTGTGTTCACTGCACCCCCCACCAGCCTGGGTCCATGGGCTGCTTGTGATTCAGCAACTTGGGAGGCTTTGCCCATGACAACCCTCCAGAAGTTAGTCAGGAAAAGGGAGAATAGTGGGAGGTTTGTGTCCCTCGGACATGGGCAGAAGACTTGCTGGTGCCCTAGAGTCTCCACTGCAGGGCTGAGATCCCAGGGGAGGAGCTGGCTCACAGAAGCTGCCTGGGGCTGAGGGAGGAATTGGGTTGGAGCCTCTTCTTGGTCCCTCATTCCATATTTGCCTCTGATGAAACCCTAAGGTTGGGGGAGATTGCTGGGGGAGTGGTGTATCCCCGAAAGCTGCAGCAGAGTTCTAAGACCTGCAGCCTTTTGCTCAGGGCCAGGTCCCTGGAGGAAGGACTAGACATGGCAGAATAAGATACTTCTGAAAGGAGGGGAGGGGAGACCCAAGGACTGGGCCTGTGATCCACCCTTGATACTGCCTCGATAACTTTCTGTAGAGACTGCAAATATTCCAGGGGAAAATTGAAAAGACAAAAGTTTGCTGAAATCACTTGTCACCAGTATCCTTCCCCTTATTAAGATGATAGGTGAATGAGGCACAAGCTTAGCATGATCCACCATGCATGAAGAGGAACATAAAGTGACCAGAACGAGGTGGCAGGGGCCAGGAAGGCAGGCCTCTGTATGTTGTGGAAGGGAGAGAAAAGGCCACCTGCTGACTTCCTGATGGTAAGAACCTGGGGATACTGAAGTTGTTTGCTGCATGATGTGTGATGTAAGGACCCCTCCATCAAATCTCTGGGAAAGTCTGCATTGCTCCCCAAAGCATTTATGTGGGTGACTTCAAGGAAGAGGGTAGGACAAACACAGGAATAGGGAAATAGCCTATAGGGACAGCAGAACAAAGGAGAAGGGGGAGAGCTAGAAGCTCAGCCATACTTAGAGTAACTAGCTTTTAATTTTTGAGCTAAATCAAATATCATCTCACTTCACATTGTTTAGACACATTGCAGGCACTAAAGGGTTAACAACAGTTTCTGGTACTGCATTGCCATCCTTAGCATATCTGGCCCAGCCAAAAGGGAGGGAGCCACTGCAGTTGGCAAAAACACAGGCTGAACAATAACATCCATATCAACTCTGAATTGGTCCCAGAGTCCTACTCCCTGCAAGTCCTGTGGTCACTGAGAGCTGGTTAGCAAGTACAGAAAGTTTGGCTTATGGTGGGAGCATGCCTCTGAGCCCCAACCCCTCACATAGAGACGGCACAGGATGTGCTAGCCCAAGGCAGACTGTCTCAGGAAGAGCATGCAGATCACATATTTGCTACTGGAAGTGACACATAGTCATATAATCACACTGGGCCCCATGCTTCACCATGGAAATCCATGGGTTCCAGAGTGTTCCAGGGCAGCATGCCCCCCTCATGCTCAGGGGTATAGCACCTGACAAGCTGCAGACAGTAGGTGAGTGGCTGTGGCCTCAGACCTGCCACTGATGAGGAGACCATGCCCTGAGACCTCGAGCCCTGCACAAACCCCTCCTCATGCTGGGGGCTTGTCCTTCTTTGTGCAGCTGCCGTGCTCCGAGAAATTTACAGATCTGATGCCTCAATGTAGGTATGGACAAGGGAGTCCAAGGATCAGGTGTTCTTGCCCAGCATGGCCCTCTTTGTGCCTGCTCCCAGTGCCCAGCCTTCAGACTCAGGGGACAGACAAGGCATTGGCCCACTGCCCTCATAGGGAGAGATGCCCTCATTCTCAACAGCCCAGAGAAGGCCAAAGCAGCCCTGCCCCTGCCCATGGATAGAGCCAGGTGAGCCTAGGGTCCTCACTCCTGCAGCCTGGGCCTGGGGGTATAGAGACTCAGCTCCAGGCACTCACCTCACTAACCTGGGATGGCTGCCCAAGCAGCCCTTTGCAGACTGGGCTTTCCAAATACATGAACTTGAGAGGTTCCTTCCATGAGTCATGTGACCTGGGGGCTGCTTGGGGAGGGATGGGGTTAGAGGACAAGGCCACAGAGCCTGAGTCCAGGCACCTACCTTGATCTTCGCAGAGCTTCTTCATCAGGGTCTTGCACTGTGGATAGAAAGGAGCTGGTCAGGGGACTCATAGGGAACAAGGAAGATAAGCCAATGGAATTCTGGGTACCCAAGATTCAGCCAGACCCTGAACACTTCCTGCCTCTAGACTGTCAGCAGTGGAAAGCAGAGTCTGTGATGCAGGCAGAGGGCCAGGGACAGCTGAGAGGGCATGATGCAGTGGGAAGGGAGCAGTCAGAGCCTGGACTCCAGGGTTCTCTTATCCCAGCCCTGGACAATCAGGTCACCTGAAAGCTGTATGACAAGTTTGTTGCCCATGACTGGAGTTAGGGATTGGAACAGAAAGCAGCCATTGGACAGCCCACCAGAGAGGCTCAGAAGGAGCTCCACCAGCTGCTAATGATCTATCAATGTCAGCTCATCTTAGGGGGCAGGTGGCTTGACTCCTTGGCTTCTGTGGACCTTGAGATTGTGGAGCAGGACCCAGCACCCTTGGGGTCCCTCGGCATTGCTCTTCTTCACCCACCCTTGTCATCCTTCACTCACTGTATTCCGTCCCTGTCATCTGGGCCAGGATGCGGAAGGAGCGAGACTGCAGGTTGGAGGAACGGCGGGCCCACTCATCAGCCTCGTCTTCTGGCTTGTTCTGGTTCTTAATCACAGCCTGGTATACTGGAGAGGCGCTGTCCACAGCAAGGTCTTTCACAGGAAGGCTCCTGCAGTGCAGAAAGAAGTGTGGGTGGAGGCTGGGCAAGAACTGGGGCTCCCTGGAGTCCTCCCTCCCATATCCTCTCCCTCCCTTCCTGGTACCCCTTGGTGCACCCACCACACCTTCACCCACTGCTATCTGAGAACCTGAGATGTGGATATGGCCTGGGTCCTCGGTGCTCGGGGTGGTCCCCGTGAGGCAGGGACTTCTCTTGCCCATGGAGGGGATGTCAGAAGGCTCATACCCCACCTGTCTGCTCCTCCCCAGGGGCAGAAGATGTCCCACCCCACCCCAATGACTGGATGCTTTTTGAGGAAGGAAAAAGCAGAAAAGATTTTCTTAAAGTGATTTTGACCTCCCTGAGCAGGCCCAGGGAGGGATAGGGTGAGGATAGGCTTTTGGGGGGACCTAGAGGTCTCCTCAGGGACCATCCTCTGCACTTCTCACACCTTTAGATACGATGGGGATCTGCTGGTGCTGTGCTACACTGGAAGAGGACAAGGAGGCCTACTTTGAAGGAGGAGTGAAAAACCAAGCAGCATGACCTGACCTGCAGGGCGTATGACTGGGGCCCCAGGGAGATTGGGAGTAGAGCTGCAAGGAAGACCCGTGCGCCCTCTGCCCCAGGGCAGCACAGCCTTTCCAGGGGGACCTGATGACCTTCCCTTAGACTCCCAAGATCTTGCCTACAGTAGGTGCTCAAACTCTTTAGTGAATGAACACATCCTAGATCCAACTCAGAAAGGACCCCAGAGCCCCTCAGGTCCAGAACCTCCCAGTCTGTATTCCACCATAGGGTAAGTGATGATGCAATGCTTTGTAGTGCCCAATGACCCCGGCCAGTGGCCCAAAGGATTCTTGCTGCCCAGCCCATCTTCTCAGAGATCAGGGTAGCCCCAAATGAAGTCAACAGTAACAACATTCTGCTAGCCCAGCACCCTCTTCTTACAGATTCTGAAACTGAAATCCAGAGAGGTCAGATTACTAGCTCCAGATTGTAGTAGATAGGGGTCCCACTGAGCTAGAATTTAAGCCTCGTGGCTCCCGGCCCAGTGTTCTCTCTATCAGGCCCTCCATAGTCACAGAAGCTCAGGAAGGCCACGTCTGCTCAGCAGGCCTGCACAGAACAATGTTTTTACCAAATGGAGACACAGTCCAGCCCAGACATGCCCTGTCCAGCACCCTCCTTTGTCTCCACCTGCCCCTGGGACAGGATCTCCTTAGTGCTTATGTCTTCTCCCCTCCGTGCAAGGAGCTAGATGGAGAATTGGCCTAGTCTCTCAGGATTAATCTCCTGAGTCTTGGTCAGGGTGGGTTAGCAGAGATGAAAAATGGTGGTCAAGAGTAGGTAGAGCTGCCCCTCATTTCCTGAAGGCTCTTCCCTAGTCTGAGGAACGAGGAGTACTATCATCCTGAGGTTGAGATTGGATGGGGAGGACCAGCAAATTTCTCAGAGGTCCAGCCAGGGAGGAGCTGTGGCTACCTAAGAAGAAGAGAGTGCAGGATCTCATTCATGCTGGGGGAAGTCATTTCCACCCAGCATAGGAAGGATCCCAAGTGAGACAGATGAGTAATAGGAAAGAACAGCCAGGTCCCTTGGTTCTGGCTCCTGGTTGACTAGGAGGAGACAGAAGGGAGGGTATAGATTATCACAATTTATGGAGGGAGGGTGTGGGATCAAACCCTGGGCCCTACCCTTGAGCCTGTCTCAATGGGGCTCTGCAATCCAGAAAGCAGATAAAAGGTGTTTGCTGCTGTGTCCCTGCAATGTGTCCATGAGGAGCTTTCCTGTGCCTTCCCTGGCTCCAGGGGCTTAAGAATGCTACCAGAAATGAGTTGTTCAGATTTCTACCTTGCTGGCTTCCTTTCCCACCAAACTGTGCAAAGACCCAGGATTCTTCTTGTCACTGCTGTAACAGAGATTGGGAGTCTGATGAGGGAATCCCTGTGTCTGTCAGGACAATGAAGCTCAGAAAAAAAAAAGCAGAGGGAGGATGGAACAAGGCCCTGCAGTCCAGACACTGTGGGCCACTCCCTGCTTGTGCTTCTTGTCACAGAAAAGATTCCAGTCACCACAAGGTCAAAGTCACCTCTGGCATTTACCCCACTGTGCACTGCTTCCAAATCTGACTCAGTTTTCACCTCTCTCCTGACCTCCCTGTCTTTACAGATCTATCTCTCATTAGGGTTCTGGAGAATGGTCTTCAAGAGGCTTCTCTGCCATTTTCTGTCCCTGAATAATGGTCTAGTATGGATTCAGACCTCCAGGAACATGTGGTGCCAGTGCATATAGGAAAGGGTGGGGAAAGCATCTTCAAAGCATGGCCAGGAAAACACAAGGATGCAGCCTCAGGCTGGCGGGGTGGGCACAGTGTGAGTGTCATTACTTTGGATTTCAGTAGCCATGTTGATGTTATTTGGGGGCAACCCCCTAAAACAAACATTTGCTGGTATAGGCTGCAGGGGATATTGTTTGGCTGCGAGGTGGGTGTGAGGAAGAACGTGGACAGAACATACGGACTGACCACTGGTCCTCAGACACATCCCACCAGACCCACACACCATCCCGCAACCAGACAGACGGAGGACGGGACAAACACTGCGGGATCTACTTACGCCAGCGGCGACGCCCTGCCAAGCAGAGGGAAACCCAGCCGTGAGTGTGCGTCCATCATGGGATGGCAGAGGGGCAGCGCACACAGAGAGCAGGGTTAGGATCAGAAATGAGTTAGGGGAGTGGGATGGGTAAAGGAAGAAGAAAGAGAGAAAAAGAAAACGGTCAGTAAGGAAGGAATCATGGAAATTAACAGCAGAAACGGGTGCACGCTCTGGTCAGGAGGGTTATCCACTGGCACCTCACCAGCATTAACCCAGCATGGCTGAGTTAAAAGAAAGGGAAGAGGATGATCCTTTCCCAGCACGCAAGGAAAAGGAAGGGGAGGGTTGCGAAGAGGACAGGAGATGGGGTAGATCCTTCAAGAAGCCTAGATTAATCAACAGGGCATCATATTCAAAAAAACATGGAACCCTCATTGTAAAACCAAAAGATATCATTCTTCCCAAGGTGCAAAAAATATAAAGTTGGTGAAGAGCATTTCTTTCAATATTTTCTACCAAACTTGTCTTTGGTGACTGAAACCACGTTAAAAGAGCACACCAAGAACCCATGTGGCAAACAAATGTTAACAGGAAATCCCTGGTGGCTCTTGGACTTATTCAGGCAGCCTGTTTTTTTTTCTGGGTACGCATGAGCTAATGGTTGTGTTTTTAAACTTGCAGGCTCATATTTTCTGCTTTGAATGATGGATTTAAAAAAACAGCACGGTGCCGAGTTCTGCAGAGTCAGCCCTGAGCCTTGTGGGTTTGAGATGTGAGGCTGCAGAGCAGGCAATGTCCCCCACCTAGTGGTCGAAAGTAACTACTGCGTTTCCAAGAGGGCACTAGGCTCCCCCTGGAAGCAAGAGCCCAGGAAATCCACACCCCACCTTTATATTTCATCCTCTGGTCTCCTGATCTACCCTTCATAAACTACATGCACATCAGAGGCTAGGCTCTGGAAAGGGCAAGCCCTGTAGGACCTCTCTGGAGATTTTTAACCCATCTTATAACATCTGATTTCCTCTTTTCAGAAGAACGTTTCAACAGTTATCTCAAGACTTTTTGCCATTAATTGCTCAGGACCCCTGATCCAGAGATGAGATGTTACCTAAAGACATAATCAGCCAGTTCTGTAAGTCAACACATGATATTCTCAAGCAGAAAACAATAAGGAAGTGTGTGTGTGTGTGTGTGTGTGTGTAAGAAAGAGATGTGAGAGACACAGAAAGAGACACATAGGCAGATAAAGAGATATATAGAGGGAGACAGAGGAGGACAGGAAGAGAGATACTCAATGGACACAGCATGAAAGAGAGAAAGGGAGGGAGAGAGAGAGAGAGAGAGAGAGAGAGAGAGAGAGAGAGAGAGAGAG